GGTGAAAATTTCATGTCATTAGCACCTCTAGTAATATATTTACTGAGAAAAATGTTGACGTGTTCAATACTTATTTTACCCGCTGTATATAATATATTCAGTATATTTAAAATTTGAAATATTACAAATTTTAACTATTGTATAGAAATCAAGAACCATCCGAGGGGACATTGGGGGATTTTTACCTTTTGTGTTCCCATGCAAAGGTTTTGCGCCAYCTCAAATTATTTTAGTAGTCTATCTCGCAGAAGTTGTTTATTACAAAGAGAAAGCTGTGCGATGCACTCATGACAAACTGCCCACAAAACAAATAATTGTTCTTMATTTCAATGACATGTATAGACTGAATATCCTTATATTTAGGGCCAGTTTCATAATAAATCTCCATGAACCTCAAACACAGGTTTTGTGTCTGTCCCATTGTTGCTGTTGTCTGGTTTGGCAAATATATTGTGAGGTAATGCAAAATTGGTATAGTGTAAGAACCAGTGGTGGGCAGCACTAATCTAAAAATTAGTTCCACTAGTCCTAAAGCACTAACTCAAATATTTAGGTCCCCTAATTCTAAAGCACTAATGCACTGAATTTTTTTTTTTAGCAAAAGCTAATTCTAAAGGATTAATAACCCATTTGGCACATGGAACATTCTTCAACAGACAACATGAGTCACATATTGTCATGTTGCTCTTATCGTTGACATTCCACAGCCGTATTTGAGTTCATATATTGTCACCTAGATAAGTGACACATTTGAACAAAATGTGTGACAACTTTCACCGTCAGCTGTTAACAATAACGTTGATCAATAMCATTTATAGACCTCAGTTAGTGCTTCTAAATTTAGCCTACAAATTTAGCAAGTGTTAATGCACTAATAAATTTTAAAATTAGCAAAAGCCCTAAAGCACTAATCAGGAAATTAGTTCCCCTATCCTATTAGTGCTTTAGGGGTACTGTGSCCACCACTGACAGGAACTCAAAATGTATTGTGGGGTAACAAAAGAAAAAATATCCTCATTGATTTTCAGATCAGTGTTCCTGAAATTATTTGAATAGCATTTTTTTTATGTATTTTTTTCCACCAAAGTCATAAACTGACTTTTATGTAACCTGACTGGTTTTATTTGTTAAATAAGATAATGACATGTTTTCTCAGGTGTGGACGAAAACGATTAAGTTCACAAATATGCATGATGTGTTTGGAATAGCTGTGTGTAAGGGAATTAAATCTAAAAGAAAGTTTTAACAGCAACATGTTTAGAAAGTCAGACTGTGATCATGTGATCAATACACTGTTTTAAGAGCAATAACAGAAAAACGATTTTACACTCAGTTTTATTCAGTTTTGCTAACACTTTAGAAATATCTGTGTCAGAACTGTCATAATTTTAAAGAGCACCAGAAGGACCAAACTTGAAGCTTAAAAAGGTGAGTTTTTATTGTGAAGATAAGAGAAGTGCAGGTGAATATCTGCAAAAAAGAACAGCAGTTTACAGGTCATGGATCGAAGGCAAGTTTGTCCTGACTTGAAGATATCAATATATTTGTTCTTCCGTCTTCTCTGGAACAGGTTTCAGGTATTCCAGAATGAATGGTCAGTGAATTCTCCAGACGGCAAGTAATGAGATACAGGCAGGAATCCGACAAAGGACTGAAACACAGGACGTTGAATATAAATGTGAACTAATGATCAAATACAAAACACCTGGGGAAGACAGAAGGAGAGGCAGGTGTGCGTGGGCGGAGAATTGATCAGAGAACACAGGGAAAACACTGAAACACTAGGATAAACAAAGCATAAAATGACAGACTTTGACACTATGATTTGGTTGTTTATGGTATTTTATCAGTCATGTATAGGACTCATAAAAACACATTACCTTCAAACATCCAATTACACTTTGTTATTAAAAGAGAGAGTTGTTACAATCTCAAGGGGATAAAGATGTTTGTTAAACCCAAATTTAGAACCGCTTTAAAGGAACAGAGTACTTCAGTCCAGGGTAAGATTATGGAATAATCTGGAAGATGACATTAAAAATGCCAGATCAATGTGTATATTTAAAAGAATGATGAAGATTAATTTGTTCAAGGAGTTAAACCTTTTTTATTTTTCATTTTTCTTTTTTTTGTTTTTGTAAATTGAAGATTATTTTTGATTGAATTTATTTACTTGAGAAAAAGGGGCAGATAAGATATTTTTCTTCTCCTACCCTGCTACCTTTCATTTATTTATATAGTTATTTTGTTTTAAATAAAAAAAAATCTAAATAAATAAAATGAAAT